TGCAAAGTGAACTCAAGTCTGGGTTGAACTGTATAGCAAGACTTTGTCTCAAAAAGACGCCCCCTCCACCCCACCCCCGCCGCAAAATCTAGTATACCAAACTTTTGCTGTGCTAAGATTTTGGAAATATAGTTTGCAGCTTGTCCTTGGGGAAGCAGAACATTCATGACCAGCATGGTTCAAGATCCTGTGGGACACAAAAAAATTGTGTAATATCATTTTAGTTCCCCAAAGGGGGAGCTATTCATACGCTCCTATTGGAACATATGAATAGTAGGAGTATTGCATAGCTAACATGCATGGATTTGATGTAAAATGTTATGGTTTAGATCTCAAATGTACCCCCAAGTCTCATGTGTTTGGAATGTGATTGGATCATGGGGCATTCTACTCCTCAGGGGATTTGCCCAATGATCAGTTCCCTAGCTGAGTGCCCTGGCTGGCGGTGGCTCACAGGGGATATTCTTAGTCCTGGCTCCTCCCTTCTCTCTGCTCCTCTCTTCCCTGCTTTTCTCTTCCCTCTTCCTCTTTCTTTTTTTTTTTTCTTCCAGCACCGGGAATGGAACTCACGACCTTGTGCTTGCCAGTCAGGCGCTGTGCCGCTGAGCTAAATCCCCAGCGCCTCCCCTGTTTTTGTTTCTATGCCCTTTCATCGTGCTGTTTCTGCCTTGGTGCCTGTTGGCCAGGGGCTGAACCCACTGCAACTGTGAGTCAGAACAACACCTTCCTCCTTTAGTTTCAGGTGCTGCTTAGTGTGTACTGGTGAATGCAAGGCCACCTGTTACAGGCTGCAGCCTAAACTTGGTGCAGGAATTTCGAGGGGGTGCAAACGTTAAATGCATCGCACGTCTTTGGGGTATTTCTCCTACCTTTTTGTTTCAATCCAACTCCTCCTGTACCTTTAAGAACCAACTCAGCCTTCACGTTTTCTGTGAAGGAAGCTTTTCCTGACCTTGTGGGTAGAGGTTTTTAGACTACACTCACCTTCTTCTTTTATTACTTATTTCCTACCTTGCCATAGTACACATTAAAAATTATGAACACTGTATAGAACACGGTATAGCTCAGCGGTACAGCACCTTGATTGGCGAGCACAAGGTCCTGAGTTCGATTCCCGGTACAAAAAAAGAACACGTGTGTGTGTGTGTGTGGGTGTGTGTGTGTGTGTGTGTGTGTGTGTGCGAAGGAGTTTACTGCTGCTCTTCAGTGATGGAGACAAATGTATAACACACATCTCCTAGCTGTACAGGTTTTCTTTAGGGCTCCAAGGCATAGACATAATATTTTTTTTTTTTTGGTTTTTTTCCGGTACCGGGAACCGAACTCAAGACCTTGCGCTTGCCAGGCAGGCGCTTTTGCCGCTGAGCTAAATCCCCAGCCCCTTGAGAAATAACTTTTATCTTAGATGGTGTGGTTTAGTAAAGGATCACTCACATCATTCCATTAGAAATTTTCTAAGGTTTAAATAGCTCTTTGAGGGACCAAGATTTATTAGTCAAAGCATTTTGTTAATGAAGTTGAACTTCTCTCGTGTGCACTTTATTTTTTTCTGTAATGTGTCTGAGAACTTTCAGGGTGCTGATGTGTACTGTGAGTCTTCAAAAGCACATTCAGCCAGGTGTGGTGGTGCACGCCTGTAATCCCAGCATTTGGGAGGCTGAGGCAGGAGGATCATTGCAAGTTTGAGGCCGGCCTGGGCTACAAAGTGAGCTCAAAACCAGACTGAACTGCATAGTGAGACCCTGTCTCAAAAAAGACAAAAACAACAAAAATCACATTCAGTGTGTAGCATTTCCTGATCCTATTTGGCTATAGCGCTCCTTCTCATCCACACGCCATGGAACACAACTTGGAGGCACTGGTTTTGTAAATGAGGGTAGCATATAACACTAAATTAACGTAACTACTTGATCTCCGACTGCTGCTTATTTTGTTGGGGTATGGGGCTGTGCTTGGCAAGCACCTTACCCTGAGCTACATCCCCAGCTTTGATTTTTGGATCATCTCCTTATACTTTAGTTTCTTTGTCTACAAAATATCTTATATTGTTGTTAGCAAAAAAGTCTATTAAATTCCCAGGAGTTCTCACTGTATGTGACAATTATAACTATTAATGTGTATAGAGAGAGGCTGGTCATCTTTGTATAGCCAGGACCTTCCAGGCTACTGACTTGAGAGCCGGCTTGAATGTAGCTGTTGCCATAGGCCCCTTGCTCTTTTTAATAAATTGTTTATTTTGGTAGTAGGGGGAGAGAGAGCCCAGGGCCTTGGGATGCCAGGCAAGCCCTGCACAGCTGAGGTACCTCAGACCTGTTGTTCTTTGAATGGGGTCTGAGTCTATATTAGATCAGCATTGTTCTAGTCTAGTCCTGTCTCTTAGCATCTCCTTATATAAACAGAAATACAGTGAAAGAAGAAACGAGCTTTGAACTAGACAGCCTCTAGAGTTTGTCAAAAGATAAATATTATAGCACATTTAGTTTAAAGATTTACTTGGCTTTTGTGATTCTACAATCAGGTTCTAATTTGTTGAGAGGATGCTACTTCTTTTCAAGTTTTTAATTAAGTAATTAATTTTTCACAGTACTAGGAATTGAACCTAGGACCTTACACATGCAAGGCAAATGTTATACTGCTGAGCTATATTCCCTGCCTGGGACAGAGGCTTTTTTTTTTTTTTGTCTTTTTGAGACAGGGTCTCACTATGCAGTTCAGGCTGTCCTTGAACTCACTTTGTAGCCCAGGTTGGCCTCAAACTCCCAGCGATCTGCCTGCCTCAGCATCCCGAGTGCTGGGATTACAGGTGTGTGCCACCGGCTCTGGGACAGAGGCTTTACAGGCAAAGAAAGGCACAAGAAAGTAGGAACAGGGAAGAAAGAGCAGATTTCCAAGTTACTTTCCTTTTTTCTGTTTTTGTTTTTTTCCGGTACCGGGAATCGAACTCAGGACTTTGTGCTTGCCAGGCAGGCGCTGTGCCTCTGAGCTAAATCCCCAGCTCCCGAGTTACTTTCCTTGTAAAGATTAAAGCGCTGGACGCTTCCTTACTGAGCCGGCTGAAGCTGGATGTTCAGGGATTTGGAGACTGTCACTCTCCCGATTTCTTGGAAGGTCAGACAACTTAATTTCCTCTTGACAGCGGGACGTTGAGCTGGAGTAACCGCGGTTTGGTCTCCTCTACTGGGGGTAGGGGAGGAGCTCAGTGCGAAGGAGTGCCCTCCGTAAATTTTATTTAGGAAGTTTATTCTCCCTTTGCAGCTCCAGGGTACAACAGGTAATTTTCTTTCTGGAACTGCAACACGTGGAGTCTTCATACTTCCTGCCCAGGCTGGTGAACACACACACAACCCTTATCACCCAACACTGAGCACCTCCTTCCTAGGGACAAGGCCTCTTAGACCGGCTCCCGTCACATCTCCCCTCCCCTAGTGCCGGGGTTAAACCCAGGGCCTTTGCACTGAGCTTCTTCCCCAGGCTTTCCTTCTGTAGTTTTACATTTTGAGATAGGGTCTCACTAAGTTGCTAAGATGTTTGAGCTGGGCTGGGACTTGTGATCCTCCTGCCTCAGCCTCCCATCCATATTTTTGATATAAAGGGATTTTGCTTATCCCAAACTGTTATTTCAGAAAACTCTGTTGGTTACTGTGTACAACTGTATAGCACCATAAATGGAACCTAGGCCTTGAAATCATCTTGGTACCTCTCTTCTCACCTCCACTTATAAGTGCAGCTACGGTGGTTGGTCTCGTAGGAATAGGAAACATTGCAGTTCTTTTCTTTTGAGATAGGGTCTCACTATGTAGTTCAGGCTGCCCTTGAACACACTGTGGAGCCCAGGCTGGCCTCAAACTCACAGCTATCCTCCTGCCTCAGCCTCCCCAGGGCTGGGAGTACAGGTGTGCACCACCACGCCCTGCTCTGCTGTTGTTGAAATAAGCCCTATTTTCTTTCTAAATTTTCAAAGGAAAAGTTCACATCTAGTGAAGTATTTGTCTACAGGCTTCACAACAGCACAAAAACTTGTGAGGAAACTTCATCAAAGGTTCAAAAAAGGGCCAGAGATATAGCTCAGCGGCACACGTGCCTGCCTGGCAAGCTCAAGGTCCTGATTTTGATTCCGGGTACCAAAAAAAACCACCAAAACCCCAAAAAAACAAAGGTTCGTGGGTCATACAAAGCAACCCAACAGGAAAGCTTTCCTGGGCTTGAACTTGAGGTTCTCCTGCTTCAGCCTCCGGAGCGTTGGGACTCCAGGCCTGGGCCGCCGCTCTGGCTCACCCCTTCTATTTTACAGAATGAAATGCTCTTGGATTCAAGAATGGCAAAATAGAGCCAATGAAGGTCTTTCAAATAAATTGTAATTTTGTTCTTTGATGCTTTTCCCGTCACCTCCCCACAGACATAGGAATACGCAGTAGTGTACGGCCCAGGGATGCTGCCAAGACGCACAAACACGGTCTCGAGCTGACTGTCAGATTTGTAAACTGAGGCGATAAAGTCTAATGGATCTCAACGAGCATTACGATCTGAAGACTTTATTTGGTTTCTATACTTTTTTTTTTTGTCATTTTGAGACAGGGTCTCACTACGCAGTCCAAGCTGGCCTTGAGCTCACTTTGTAGCCCAGGCTGGTCTCGAACTCGCAACGATCCTCCTGCCTCAGCCTCCCGAGAGCTGGGGTTACAGGTGTGCGCCGCCACACCTGGCTCTTTCTATCCATTTGTGTAACAAAGACATCCTGTTAAAAACAAAACAAAACAAAACAAAACAAAACAAAACCCCTAAAAATGTGGTTTTTAAACACCTTTCCTGGGCCGGGAATATCGTCAGCAGCAAGGCACCTGCCAGACAAGCGTGAGGTCCTGGGTTCGCTTCTCGGTTCCAAAACAAAAAATGAACAAATAAAAACGTTTCCTCACATGCTCGTGGGCAGAGGCTTCCGGAGCGTGATTTGGGATCACGCCCGCAGGGCCGGGAAAAGGAAAGAGCAGAACCCAGCGCCTAGAAACCGAAAGTGAAATTAGGTTGTCCTTGATCCTGTTCCTGGCGGCTCGCGGGGCGCAGCGGACGCCTGAACTTTCTGTCTCCGGTGCAGCTCTTCTTCCCTTCGCCAGGAGCGAGCGGAGCGC